ATTCATAAGCGACGAACACTTTGTGAAATTAGCCCTATCATAAATGTATATTCTCAGATTCTTCTCAAAAGAGATACACCTCAGGTTCCTGAATATTCTTCGAGCGCAATGAATAATCGTTTAACTGTTTTTGGAATTTTGCAAATGCTTTCGATTCCGCCAAATAGGAGGCATAGAGCTCGGGTTCCACATTACGTTTTTTATAGATGTCCGTACACACGGCCGGTAAATGGACGAGCAGTTGTTCTATGTCTTCCATCAAAGTCACAGGTGGTTGGATCCATTGCCAAGTCACAGCGAATGGCGCCCAACGTAAAGGTCAGCTGTTGTAGGGAGTTGAAGGATTTTTGAACAAAATTTTTTCATTGAATTGCTGACTAACTCACTCACTAGCAGAAGGGGGAAATGTAATCTTGACATATTCTGACGGTTGTTCGGTGTGTTTGCGGATTCAACGAACGATAAATACTGAATACAATATCTGAGGTGGCTCAATTTTCAAGCTGTCAATTGTTGTGTTTTTATTATTTTTTGCAGATATGTGTATGAAAAAAATGGTACTCCAAACGTGGTTGAGCTTGTTGGTAGGAAATTTCATGAAAAAATGTTTAAAAAAAGAACTCTGAAACTTCAGAACATATTCCTTAAAAGGAATAAAAATATTCCTTAAAAAGGACACTCTTATTTGATCCTTAAAAAAATTTTCCTTAAAAACCACTTCTATTTGGTCCTTGAAAAAATATTCCTTGAATAGAATCCACTTTTAGGTCGTCCTTGTATAAATATTTTTTAAAAAATACACGTTTATTTGGTCCTTGAAAAATATTCATTGAAAAATCCAATTCCTCGACGAAATATTCGTGCAAAAGAATCAACTTTTATTTGGTCCTTGAAAAAAACTTCTTAAAATAATCACATTTATTTGGTCCTTGAAAATATTCTTTAAAAAAATCAAATATTCTTGAAAAAGAATCCACTTTTATTTGGTCCTTGAAAAAATTATGCTTAAAAATTTAAATTTATTTAGTATTGGAAGAAATATTTTTGAAGAAGAATACACTTTTATTTGGTCCTTGAAAAAGAATCCTCTTTTATGTGTTCCTTAAAGAAATATTCTTTAGAAAATAATCCACTTTTATTTGAAGAAGAAATATTGTTGAAAAGAAATCCACATTTGGTTTGTCCTTGAAAAAAATTGAAAATTAATTTGCTTTTATTTCGTCCTTGCTTCTCTTAAATTTTTCGTTTTTAGGTACTTGAAAAATATTCTTGAAAAATAATTCATTTTTATTTTGCCCTTTAAAAAATAGCCTTGTAATAGAACAGTGTTGGCATATTTGTTCGGGATACCTTAGTATTTTGTTGTTGCAATATAGTCAGGCTTAATCCCATTTTTGTCGTTTTTATAAAAACAAGGTTTGTTTATTGTTGAAATAAAATCAGCGTTTATTTGTTCCTTGTAAAATTGTTTTTTTACAAAAATAACCCTTCCCAAGATTTAAATGTGATTCCAATATATTTAGCCAAGACGCAAACCAATGTAACAATCTTGGGGTATTGCCAATCTATTGTAGTAGCCATTAAAGTTTCGTTAAGTTCAGACATAAAGACATTAAAAAATATTAGTTTCTTAGATTTGCAACAGATGGCGCTGCTACATTAAATTCTTTTCATCAATCAATTTTGCCCCCTGGAAATTCTCATTCCTGGGACATGTTTATAAATATGGCATTTCTATGTTTATACCCTACACCACATAGTGTCAAGGGTATTGTGCATTTGTGCATTTGTTTGTAACATGAAGAAGGAAGCGAGATAGACCCATAGTTACTTTTGGGGATCTGCATAAAATCTTCTTCAGAGTCGATTCATGCATGTTAGTCCGTCTGTGCGTCCATATTCATGAGAACAAAATGCAGGTCACATTTATTATCCGATTGAGATGAAATTTTCCAAACAATATTTGTTTGATCCATGTACGAACCCCATTTAAATTGGTTATAATCGGATCAGATTTAGATAAAGCTCCCATATATCTTCAAACAATTTCAGGTTAATTGTGCACCAAAGGGCTAATATAAGTCCAAAAGTCCTGAATTTTGGTATATCCGACCGAATTCAGTCTAAAAGCTAATACATCGGATTCGGAGAAAATCGATTCAGATACCCTATATATATGTTTCAACCGATTTGTGGTTTTAAGTCCCTCACACGTATAGTATGCCCTCCATAACAATAATAATTGGTAGCAGATGTCAGATACAGCTCTGAAATAAGTGTTTAAAATTTTGTCAAGATCGGTTCAGATTTGGATATAGCTCCCACACATATCCTTATCCGATATCGTGTTTATTGTGCACGAAATGGCTAATATCTGCCCAAATTAACCGAATTTTGGCACTTTCGACGGAATTCAATCCAGAAGCAGGTTCTGCAAATCTTGGTGTATAGCTATAGGTTACATCCGATTTGGTGTTAAAGATGCAGCTCGAATATACCTCGGCCAAATATATACAGGGTGAGAAAAAAACTGCAACAAAGTCAAACGCCATAATTTTTACATTTTTATACCCTCCACCATAGTATGGAGGGTATATTAAGTTTGTCATTCCGTTTGTAACAAATCGAAATATCCATTTTAGAACCACAAAGTATATATATTCTTTACCAGCATAGAATTCTATGTCGATTTAGCGATGTCCGTCCATCCGTCTGTGGAAATCATTCTAGCTTCCGAACGAATTGAAGTAGATTGATAAACTTTTACTCAAATGTGTGTTATGTCTGCAGGAGTTTTGGTATTGAAAATGGACCATGTAGGTTCACGTTTTGGTATATCGCTACCTCCGGATATTCGGTTCTCTGTAGATTTTAGCGACATTATACACCGGAACTGTTTCAAATTTGGTGTTTGAAGTTTGCAATTTTCAACGGATTGGTATCCGGAGATTTTGGTGGCCATTGTGCGCTGGAAACGAAGCGAGGAACCTCATTTTGTAACCATTCTTGGGAGGTGCGTGCTTAGTGCGAAGGTGCTGAATTCTGTGGGTATGTCTCAGGTCTGCGGCCAAAATGTGCTCAAGGCTTTAATACACCCTCCAGAATATTTTCGCGATAATATTCGGCATTTATTCTGATGTCACGGTCGATTAATACGAGCGGAGAGCGACTATCAGCTGTTATGGCCGCCCACACCATCACCATGGCCGGCGCTTGAGTTCTGGTGGCCAACCGAAGGTGCAAATTTTAAGCTGCCCTCTTTGGCATGTAAACACGATCATTTTGTTTGTTTACAAACTGCTGGACAACGAATGTTTTCCCATCAGAAACAGAGAAAACCAACTTCGGCAGTTCACCACTTTTGGCCAAGCGAAGCAACTCTTAAGCTCTTTTGAGTCTATTTTCTTTCTGTTGCGGTGTAAGTTCTTGCACTTTTTGGAATTTCAATGGCTTTACCCCCAGCTCGATTTTCAATATTTGCCGAATGGATTATTGCGATATGTTCATCTCACGAGCCATTTTTGGGCCACTGCGGCGCGGGTTTCGATCAAGTCGCTTCTTTATTTTTCGAACCATTTCTGCTGATGTTGCAGGTTTCTTCCATCCACTTCCTTGACATATGTCAGGCTACGCTACCAGTATCACGTTATCGGTAACGAGCGATGTTACGAGACACAAAAAATGTATTCACATTTAAATGCTGGAGTGCCCTAACGATAGCCAATTGCGATTTTCCAGCCCAGTATAAAGAAATCGCACTATCACGCTTGAATTCCATCACGAATTACTTTTTTTCTGGAAAATTCTCACCAAAATGCTTTTGTACGCTTGTAAACAATGTAATGTGCTCACACTGGAATGATTTCAATAGCTGTCGGACGAGTGGCTTAGAAGTGACAGCAGTCTGAAGTTGCTTGCAGTTTTTCATCTCACCCTGTACAGCAATGTGTTCATAGTTGGTATGATCTACTTCAGATAAATACATTATGGTGTAGTCGCCCCGTCCAACTTTTGACCTTTCCTTACCGATTGAGTTGGGAGTTTTGGACTATTTTTCCCTTTCACTCCATTTAAAAAATTGAAAAACCAAAATTGAATTGTAATTCTTTTTTTTTAATATTTTAATTTTATTTACAGATTTCAAAATAATTAAATATATACAACAAGAACAAAAAATTAATGCCATGTTCAGATGATCCATCCATCCATCATCGATGAAGTCTATAGGAGAGCTAGTGTGAATTGTTAGCATTTTTTGTCTAGTCTTGTAATCTTATAAATTGACGTCTATACAGGGTTGCCCATATTCGACGGACCTTTGGCCCCTTTGGGCCCATTCCAATCAACGAGGTTTGTCCGCAGGCAACATTCTTTGCGTCAATTGAAGTTTGTACGGGAACAAATGCCAATCAATGCGAATAATTCGTTGTAAAGTGGACCGAGCCATGCCCAACTGCTGAGAACGGCTTTTTTGGGATGTTCTTGGGGACCTCTCAACACTGGCTCGTACGGCATCGATATTCTCGTCCGATCGCCTTGGTCGACTTTTATATGGCCTCTTCGGCTTAGAAAGAGCCTTACCAGTCGAAAATGTTTCGTATAAACGCTTAATGGTGTTCTTAGAAGGCGCACTTCTCACATTTTATTTCCCCCAATTGACTTCTTCCGTTGAATGTAAATTTCAACTATTTCAGAGCGCTCGCGTGGCGTGTATTGGTTCATGGTAAAAATCTGCTTGGACTGACGCTTCAAACGCGGTATGTCATTAAGCGATGTGACATCTCTGTCAAAAGTTATGGCGTTGCCAGATGGGTCCGTCGAATATGGGCAACCCTGTATATATTTTTTTTTATTATTTTTTAAATTTAATTATTTATTTCTTTAATTAAATTTCAACATTGAATGTCTTCTTTCAAATTTTCAAACATTGCATTAAATAATTTTTTTGTTTTTTAATTATTTGGTGTACAATTTATTTTCCCTTTAATTAACCCACCCCCCCCCCTGATTTTGGATCATTTTTTCATTTCATGCTCCCACTACAGCATCCAGGTGTCATTGGCATCCATCCACTGAGTATCGCATTTACCCTTCATCACATTCATGGGTATGCGCGTCTCTCTGTGTATGTGTGTGTGTGTGTGGGGACAACTTATGCTGATGTCTTCCTGTCCATTGCTAATTATGTGGACCAGCATAGAGAGGGTCACATAATTTCAATGCGAATCGATTTGAATAGCCTTTCATGTGGAAAATTAAACCCAGTCTGTGCGTGTACTGGTCGAGGGCTGTAGCGAGCAGCGCCCGCCACCACCAGGGACACGTTGCTAGGGACGCAGGCCAATGAAATACTCTTCAGTTCTGAAATACAAAAAGAAAAAGCGGAGAGTTACACAAAAAATAAAATCGGAAACAATTATTTTGAAATGATGTTTCATAAAAAAATAATTTGAAAAAAATTGCACCCGAAATATTATTTTTTTAAAAAAATATTTAAAAATTAACAAATAAAATATATCCGTAATGGTTATTTTGAAATATTTAACAAAAAAAACTCTCTAAACCTAATTAGTATTATAAAAATATTCATTATACTCCAAAATATATTGAAAAAGAGTTTATTAAAAAATATTTCTTTTTTTAAGGTACTCTAAACTAATATTTGAAAATAAATCAACGGGCTTCAATATTTTTGAATAAACATATATATATATATATATATATATATATATATATATATATATATATATATATATATATATATATATAAACATATATATTTATATATATATATATATATATATATATGTATATATATTTATTTAGAGTTGTTTATTCAAAAAAATTATCGATTTAGTGATGTTCGTCCGTCTGTCCGTCTGTGGAAATCACTCAAGCTTCCGAACGAATTAAAGAAGATTGATAAAATTTTGCTCAAATGTATGTTATGTCTGCAGGGCTTTTGGTATTGAAAATGGTTCACGATGTAGGTCCACGTTTTGGTATAGCCCCCATATAACGGTACCTCCCGTTATTCGGTATTTTGATGATTTTAGCGACATTATTCACCGGAATTGTTTCAAATTTGGTATTTGAAGTTCATAATGGATACTACAGCATAAGACAGAAAATTGTCTGTGCAGGTCTACGTCTTCGTATAGCCCCCATATAACGGTACCTCCTGATATTCAGAATTTTGATGATTTTAGCGAATTTATTTACCGGAATTGCTTCAAATTTGGTATTTGAAGTTCATAATGGATACAGCATAAGACAGAAAATTGTTTGTGCAGGTAGGGTAAGTGTGCCTAAGTTCGGCATGTCCCAGTAGTCGGCACTTTTTATTTTTAAGCCCAAATAAATGAAACTATTATAACTAAATGTATGTTGTTTAGTTCAAATATATTGTCAGCTATCTTTGTGTACAATCTCCCTAAGAAAAGATGATTTATTCTAATAAAAATTAAATTTTTGTCTGTGAAGGTCCTCAACAATCCATATTCTTAAGAAAAGCACAATAAAGACGTCGAATCAGTTTAACTAAACAAAAATATTATATTTTAATGAATTAATGTATTATTATTATTAATTATTCTTACAAAAAAATTGGTATGCCGACTGTTGGAACATGCGATACCGACAATTAGCAAGTGGTGCCGACTACCGGCAAAAAATCATTGTTTTAAAAAAACTACAAATTTATGAAATTTAATAAAAAGTTATTATAACTTTATTTATTATTGCAAAAACTATACAAAATTTCGAATCTGAATAAATTAACTTTGTAATAATTGAAAAGTTCCACTCAGAATGGTAAGCGATTGATAACGCGAAAATCCTAAAAGTGCCGACTACTGGTACACTTACCCTATACGTCTTCGTATAGGAACCCATATAACGGTACCTCTCGATATTCGGTATTTTGATGATTTTAGCGAAGTTATTCACCGGAATTGTTTCAGATTTGGTATTTGAAGTTCATAATGGATACTACAGCCTATGACAGAAAATTGTCTGTGCAGGTCTACGTCTTCATATAACCCCCATATAACGATACCTCCCAATATTCGGTATTTTGATGATTTTATCGAATTTATTCACCGGAATTCTTTTAAATTTGGTATTTGAAGTTCGTAATGAGGATTACAGTCTGTGACAGAAAATTGTCTATGCAGGTCCAGGTTTTCGTATAAGCCCTATATGTCAGTACCTCCTTATATTCGGTATTTTGACGATTTCAAGTACAATACTCACCGAAATTGTTTGAGATGTCGTATTTCAAGTTCGTAATGGAAGCTAAATATTATCTATGCAGGTCTAGGTCTTCGAACTTAACCTACTGGAAAAATAACCTGGAAAAATAAACATGGGTGCAAAATTTTAGCCTTCTATCTCAATTCGTTCGAAAGATATTGTGATTACAACAGACAGGCGGACATGGCTATATCGACTTAGAATTTTACGCTGATCAAGAATATATATACTTTGTTGGGTCTGACATGAGTATTTCGAGGAGTTACAAACGGAATGACAAAGTTAATATACCCTCCATAGTATGGTGGAGGGTATAAAAATAAGTAAATGATAATTAAAAAAAAATCCGATGATTAGCTTGGTGGTCTTTGGAATAAATGTTTCTTTATTTGGTTTTTGAAAAAATATCCTTTGAAAAATCCAGGTTGATTTATACTTAAAAATATTTTTATTTTTAAAACCCAATTTATAGTTTTTTTTTTTTAAATTTATTCATTAAAAAAATGACGTTGGTTTGGTGCTCGAAAAATGTTCCCTCAAAGAAACATCATTTTAAAGAACTTTTATAATCCAGCTATGGACATCTTATCAAAAAAAAAAAAAAAATAAATAAATAAATAAATAAATAAAAATATTTTAAAACTTATATTTTACAAAACTTGTGTATATCGTATACATGCATTTATTTACAAAATTATTCTATAAAAAAAAACAAATTAACTTAAAGTAACATATCGGGGTATTAACACAGATGCGATCAATAATAATGACACGTGTAGGGTGGCGTTATAGGAAAAAAATCATTCAAAATGTCCCGTCGATAGGGGACTGGTGGAGGTCAATCTAAAAGAAAAAAAAAGTGGAAAAGAAATTACAAATAACATAAAATAAGATTTTATAAAAAAGGAGCGAAAGATGGGAAGTGAAAAGAAAAGTACAGGGTGAGATAAAAAATACTTCAAAAAAGTCAAACGCTATCAATTTTTTTTCGGAAATAGCATCAAATTTTAGAATAAGTTTAGATTTGGTCGAATTGGTCACCTTTGGCAGGAATTAGGGCCTTCAAACGGCCAATGAAACCGTCACACGCTGCCCAAATGTTGCTCTGCGGTATTTTTGCCCATTTCCGGCGAATCACTTGCTTGAGGTGATCGACACTTTGGTATCTTTTAGTGCCAACCTTGCTTTCCAAAATACTCCAGACACAATAGTCCGCTTGCGGAGTGCGATGGTGCTGAGTCCAGTTGGAATTGGATGTCCAAGGTCTGCGGCCAAAATGTTTGCGAGCCCAAGGCTTTAATTCACCTTCCAGAATATTTTCGCGATAATATTCGGCATTTATTCTGATGCCAAAATCTATGGATACCAATCCGTTGGACTATTGTGATGGGAGTATTTTGGAAAGCAAGGTTGGCACTAAAAAAAACCAAAGTGTCGATCACCTCAAGCAAGCGCTTCGCCGGAAATAAACCAAAATACTGCAGAGTAACTTTCGGGCAGCGTGTGACGGTTTCATTGGCCGTTCGAAGGCCACAATTCGTGCCAAATGTGACCAATTCGAACAAATCTAAACTTATTCTAAAATTTGATGCTATTTCCGACATTTTTTGCTTTCACTTAATAAAATTAAAAAAATAAAATAAAAATTATGGCATTTGATCCGATTATGGCAGATGATCCGTGTTGTTCCATAGACTTGTAACAAGGTTATGACTTTGATAGCAATTAATTATCTCAAAAAAAAAAAAAAAAATACTAAATAAATAAAATAAAATAAATAAATAAAATCCACATTTGTTGGCCCAATGCTCATTAAAAAATTATTTGGAAAATCTCCACTTCTGTTATTCTGATGGTATTTGAAGAAATTCTTAAAAAAATTACAATTTTTTTACTTAATTTTCTTTTAAAAATTAACAAAACCTCCTGCTAAATCGGATTACAGCAACACAAATCCCCACCCGCCATGTCAAGTCTAATGGAATCTGTAAATATGATTTTTCTTTCTCTCTCATCTGCTGGAGGATTTTCAACATTGTCACACCACACCACGCATAGAGTAGTAGTTGGTGTTGCGGATTTTGTTTAATTTTGCTGCACTTTTTTTTCTTTTTGTTAATGGTTAACTAACAACAAGTACAAGAATATCGCATAAATATTTTATAAAGTAAGCATGCGGCGGGTATGGCAATGTGTGCACACACATAGATATTTGCTTGTCTGTATCCAGACCAGATGAAGGCAGAATGGAATATAATAACGTGTTGATTTTTTTAATGCATTTTGACAAGTAGATGAAAAAAAAAAAAGAAAATTAAACAAAAGTATGAGACCGTAAAAAATTTCCTTGCTGAGTTCCTTAGATCAGGATTTGTATCTCTATTCCAAAAATGGTGGCAAAAGGACCCTGCCCTCCATAATCATGATTTCCTTTAAATACTATCAAAAATGTCTCGCCTCTTTTGTATTCCTTTATAGAATCCTGCCTTTATGCTACACAGTGATCACCACAAAACACGTCCTCGTCTCTCGCAAAACTATAACTAAAAGTTTTATAGTTATATATAAGTTGTCCAGGTTTTCATGCCGCGCTTTTCTGGGTGATTTAAATCAAAGTGAAACTTAAATATGATACAAGAGAGGAAAGCTCTGGAATGGATGTAAATTCAATTATACAGGAGGAGATGAAAAAATTGTAACCAACTTTAGGCTGCTGTCATTTCTAGGCCACTCGTCCGACAGCTGTAAAAATTATTCCAGTGACAGCTCATTATATTGTTGACAAGCGTACAAAAGCATTTTGGTGAGAATTTTCCACAAAAAAAGTTATTCGTGATGAAATTCAAGCGTGATAGTGCGATTTCTTTATATTTGGCTGTAAAACCACAAGTGGCTATCGTTAGGGCACTCCAGCATTTAAATGTGAATGAATATTTTGTGTCTCGTAACATCGCTCTTTACCGTGATACTGTTAGCGCAGCCCGACATATGTCAAGGAAGTGGACGGAAGAAAACAGCAACATCAACAGAAATGGTTCGAAAAGTAAGAAAGCTATTTGATCGAAACCCAAGAGCCAAAATGGCTCGTGATCTGAAAATATCGCAATATTCCATTCAACAAATATTGAAAAATAAGCTCGGGGTAAAGCCATTGAAATTCCAAGAAGTGCAAGAACATACACCGAAGGAACTTACACAGAAAGAAAATAGACTCAAAAGACCTAACTTGGCCGAAAGTGGTGAAGTGGCGAATTTGGTTTTCTCCGATGGGAAAACATTCGTTGTCCAGCAGTTTGTAAACAAGCAAAATGATCGTGTTTACTTGCCAAAGAGGTCAGCTGATAATGTGCACCCTCGGTTGTCTACCAGAACTCAAACGCCGGCCATTGTGATGGTATGGGCCGCCATTACAGCCGATGGTCGCTCTCCGCTCGTATAAATCGACCGTGGCATAATAATAAATGACGAATATTATCGCGAAAATATTCTGGAGGGTGTATTAAAGTCTTGGGCACGCAAACATTTTGGCCGCAGACCTAGGACATTCCAACAGGACTCAGCACCATCGCACTCTGCACGCGCCACCCAAGAATGGTTACAAAATGAGGTTCCTCGCTTCATTTCCAGTGCACAATGGCCACCAAAATCTTCGGATACCAATCCGTTGGACAATTATGTCTGGAGTATTTTGGAAAAAAAATCCAGGTTTAATGGTCTCTGAGTCCTTGAAAAATATTTTTTTAAAAAACGCACATTTAATGGCCTCTGAGTCCTTGAAAAATATGGTTTTAAAAAATGCACGTTTAATGGCCTCTGAGTCCTTGAAAACTATTTTTTAAAAAATCGTTATTTAATGGCCTCTGAGTCCTTGAAAAATATTTTTTAAAAAATTCAAGTTTAATGGCCTCTGAGTCCTTGAAAAATATTTTTTAAATAATCAACATTTAATGACCTCTGAGTCCTTTAAAAATATTTTTTTTTAAAAAAATCCACGTTTAATGGCCTCTGATTCCTTTAAAAATATTTTTAAAAAATCCACTTTTAATGGCCTCTTAGTCCTTGAAAAATATTTTTTTTATGAAAATCGACGCTTAATGGCCTCTGAGTCCTTAAAAAACATTTTGTAAAAAATCCACGTTTAATAGCCTCTAAGCCCTTGAAAAATAACCTTTAAATTTCCATGTTTAATGTCCTCTGATACCTCGAACATTTTTCTTAAAAAAATCCACGATTAATAGCCTCTGAGTCCTAGAAAAATATCCTGTAAGTTTCAACGTTTAATGGTCTCTGATACCTTGAACATTTTCTTTAAAAATTCACTTTTTATGGCTTCTGAGTCCTTGAAACATATTTTTTAAAAAATCAACGTTTAATGGCCTCTGAGTGTTTTAGTCGCAAGTACCTTGGAAAAGTATTCTAAAAAATATTTAAATCACATTTGGTTGTCTGTAGGTTCTTGAAAAATAATTCTTTAAAAAAACCCACTTCTTTGTTTTTTTGTATTGTTTTTTTCCATTGTCTGTGTAACAACTACTCAAGAAGTGGAATGTAATTTTTTCTTTTGTTTCGAATGAGGGTCCCTGCTCAGACACTGCATCGATGTGAGAGTGTGTGTGTTTGTTAGGGTGGGTGTACAGCAGAGTTAGTTAGTTAGTACAAGTGATTAATTAAACAATACATAACAACTACGAAAAGGAAAATTCCAACGTCGACGAAGGAAAATGGAAACTCAACTTGCAACATGCAGGACGTCGTGCAACGTGCCGCAGAGCTGTTTAAAGTGCAAATTTATTGCTGAGCAAATTATGAGTGAATGAAAATGAAATGAAGCCACGGGTAATGAACGAAAGATGGACAATGCGGAGCAGTGACTAAATTAGCAATAAAAAGAACAGTTTTGTAAAGTTGGTATTTTTCCACATCTCTTCTTCGACATCATTATTTGTTTCTTTTTTTTAAGGAGAGAAGAGATTAAATTTGAATACTTTTTCCTGGCAATGCTGATGAAGATGATGTTGCACTACTTTCCTCATGGCGTTGCTGTTGTCTACTTACCGTGAACTCTCCGTTCGGGACCTCTGTGAATAGTCTTTGGATAAACGACTCCTGTTCAAAAACGAAAAAAAGAGGGGAAAGAGAGAGGGAAGCACACAAATAAATGAGTGATTTGCTGTCAGTGTTGAAATTTAAAAGCGTTTTTTAAGGAGACATCATTTTTCTATGTAGGGTATTGGATTGTTACAGGGTTAGTAGAACATAGAAACAGTGTTGCAATTAAAAAGGATTACAGAACTGAAATATATTGAAAACAAAATACTCCCAAAAACGTTTGGTCCTGAAAAAATCTACGTTTGGTCCTTGAAAAAGTATTCTTTAAAAAATCCACGTTTGAACATTGAAAATGTAAATTTTGTTTGGTCCACGTTTGATCCTTGAAAAAATATTCTTAAAAAAATCCTAGTTTGGTACTGAAAAAATTTACGTTTGGTCCTTGAAAAAATATTCTTTAAAAAATCCACGTTTGGTCCAACAAAAATCTACGTTTGGTCCTTGAAAAAATATTCTTTAAAAAATTCACGTTTGGTCCTGAAAAAATCTACGTTTGGTCCTTGAAAATATATTCTTCAAAAAATCCACGTTTGGTCCTAAAAAAATTTACGTTTGGTCCTTGAAAAAATTTTCTTTAAAAAATCCACGTTTGGTCCTGAAAAATCTACGTTTGGTCCTAGAAAAAATATTCTTTAAAAAATCCAAGTTTGGTACTGAAAAAAATTACGTATGGTCCTTAAAAAAATATTCTTTAAAAAATCCACGTTTGGTCCTTAAAAAAATCTACGTTTGGCCCTTGAAAAAATATTCTTAAATAAATCCACGTTTGTTCCTGAAAAAATCTACGTTTGGTCCTTGAAAAAATATTCTTTAAAAAATCCACGTTTGGTCCTTGAAAAAATATTCTTAAAAAAATCCTAGTTTGGTACTGAAAAAATTTACGTTGGTCCTTGAAAAAATATTCTTTAAAAAATCCTAGTTTGGTACTGAAAAAATTTACGTTGGTCCTTGAAAAAATATTCTTTAAAAAATCCACATTTGGTCCTGAAAAATCTACGTTTGATCCTTGAAAAAATATTCTTCAAAAAATCCACGTTTGGTCCTGAAAAAATTTACGTTTGGTCCTTGAAAAAATATTCTTTCAAAAATCCACGTTTGTTCCTGAAAAAATCTACGTTTGGTCCTTGAAAAAATATTCTTTAAAAAATCCACGTTTGGTCCTGAAAAAATCTACGTTTGGTCCTTGAAAAAATATTCTTTCAAAAATCCAAATTTGGTCCTGAAAAAATTTACGATTGGTCCTTGAAAAAATATTCTTTAAAAAATCCACGTTTGGTCCTGAAAAATCTACGTTTGGTCCTAGAAAAAATATTCTTTCAAAAATCCATGTTTGGTACTGAAAAAAATTACGTTTGGTCCTTGAAAAAATATTCTTTAAAAAAATCCTCGTTTGGTCCTGAAAAATCTATGTTTGGTCCTTAAAAAAATATTCTTTAAAAAAATCACGTTTGGTTCTGAAAAAATCTACATTTGGTCCTTGAAAAAATATTCTTTTAAAATCCACGTTTGGTCCTGAAAAAATCTACGTTTGGTCAATAAAAAAATAAAAAATCCACGTTTGATCCTTTATTCTTTAAAAATCCACGTTTGATCCTTTATTCTTTAAAAATCCACGTTTGGTAATGAAAAAATCAACGTTTGGTCCTTAAAAATTTATTTTTTAAAAAATCCACGTTTGGTCCTGAAAAAGATACGTTTGGTCCTTAATAAAATATTCTTTAAAAAATCCAGGTTTGGTCCTTAAAAAATCTACGTTTGGTCATTAAAAAAAAAACACGTTTGGTCCTTGAAAAAATATTCTTTAAAAAATCCACGTTTGTTCCTGAAAAAATCTACGATTGTTTCTTAAAAAAATATTAAAAAAAATTAGGTTCGGTCCTGAAAAAAATTATGTTTTGTCCTTAAAAAAATCTGCAAAAAATCCTCGTTTGGTCCAGAGGAAATCGACGTTGGATCCTCAAAAATTATTCTTTAAAAAATTAACGTTTGGTCCTTGAAAAAATATTTTGCAAAAAATCCACGTTTGGTCCTTGAAAAAATATCCTATTCGATTCGTCCTTAAAAAAGTCAAAGTTTGGTCTTAAAAAAATATTTTTAAATATGTTACCTTGGGTCCTACAAATCCCTCAAATGAAAACTGGCAATAATTTTGATTAGTTAAGGCAACAATGAAATTGCATTTTGGGAAAACAACAACAAAAATGTTAGTTTATAATTTAGTTCTTGTTGTTGTCTCGAAAACAACAACAATAGGCTTACAAAAACAACGACATAAAACACAAACTAATTACCATGTTTGGAAAAAAAAGCTAACGCATAACACAAGAATGTCTCTGGAAATTTTCAGAGACAACTTTCAGGGGTGGAGGGGAGGTCGATTACAATTGTGATGGGGTCGGGGGGCAAAGGGCAGAGCATTTGTTCATGTGTGTGTGTTTGAGTGTGCGGCAAGGACAATATTACCTGCGATTCCTCTGTGAACTGCCATGGCTCAAATTGCGACGGTCGCGCCACCTGTTGAAACGATGCCTCAGCGTTTGGCGTACTTCCGAATTGAGGAAACAAAAGAAAAGCGACACAAAAAAGCCCTGCAATGAAAAACCATAACAAATTAGAATTTTGATTATTTTTTGTTTCCGTTTTATTTGGTTCAAAATCTCCACTCACTTGTGTGCTAATTAAAAACGCCCGTGCATTATCAAAAACATTGGCGCTAATGCCCTTCTCGGGACCGACCAACACCAGCAGATAGGTAATGCCGAACAGAGGAATGAGGACCAGCAATGCCTTCGATGCCTTGTGGTACTGTCGCGTCTCCAAGGTATTGGCCGAGCGTAGTTTTGTGATCAACACCTGCAACAGCCGCACATCACGAACAGAAGGGAAAAAATAGAAATCAAGATAAAAAATTAAAAAAAAGGATGTCATCGGCATGTTTTGCTTGAATGCTGTTCGGTAATGATAAACAAGCAAGAAAACGAAACAGGAAATTTCCTAGGTGGCAGGAGCTGCTTTCAATATCCGGCATGTAACCGACCGGCTAAAGAATGCTGTTCAGGTGTAACTTAAAATGTGGCAACAATATGTGTCGAGCTGATAGTGTCAATGTGAAAGGCAGTGTTGTGAAATGTTGTAGCCGATAGCGGAAGTGAGAAAATATATTTTTAAAAAAATTTAAGTTTATTTGTCTACAGATCCTTGAAAAAAACATTCTTTAAAAAATCCACGTTTATTTGTTCAAAGGTTCTTAAAATATTTTTTTAAAAATCCGCGTTTATTTTTCTGAAGGTCTTTGAAAAAATATTCTTTAAAAAATCCACGTTTATTGATCCTTGAAAAAATATTCTTTAAAAAATCCACGTTTATTGATCCTTGAAAAAATATTCTTTAAAAAATCCGCGTTTATTGATCCTTGAAAAAATATTCTTTAAAAAATCTACGTTTATTAAAATGTTCTTTAAAAAATCCACGTTTATTGATCCTTGAAAAAATATTCTTTAAAAAATCCACGTTTATTGATCCTTGCAAAAATTTTCTTTAAAAAATCCGCATTTATTGATCCTTGAAAAAATATTCTTTAAAAAATCCACGTTTATTGATCCTTGCAAAAATTTTCTTTAAAAAATCCGCATTTATTGATCGTTGAAAAAATATTCTTTAAAAAATCCACGATTATTTGTTCAAAGGTTCTTAAAATATTTTTAAAGATCCGCGTTTATTTTTCTGAAGGTCCTTGAAAAAATATTCTTTAAAAAATCCGCGTTTATTGATCCTTGAAAAAATATTCTTTAAAAAATCCACGTTTATTAAAATATTCTTTAAAAAATCCACGTTTATTAAAATATTCTTTAAAAAATCCACGTTTATTAAAATATTCTTTAAAAAATCCACGTTTATTAAAATATTCTTTAAAAAATCCACGTTTATTAAAATATCCTTTAAAAAATCCACGTTATTAAATATTCTTTAAAAATCCACGTTTATTAAAATATTCTTTAAAAAATCCACGTTTATTAAAATATTCTTTAAAAATCCACGTTTATTAAAATATTCTTTAAAAAATCCACGTTTATTAAAATATTCTTTAAAAAATCCACGTTTATTAAAATATTCTTTAAAAAATCCACGTTTATTAAAATATTCTTAAAAAATCCACGTTTATTAAAATATTCTTTAAAAAATCCACGTTTATTAAAATATTCTTTAAAAAAATCCACGTTTATTAAAATATTCTTTAAAAAATCCACGTTTATTAAAATATTCTTTAAAAAATCCACGTTTATTAAAATATTCTTTAAAAAATCCACGTTTATTAAAATATTCTTTAAAAAATCCACGTTTATTAAAATATTCTTTAAAAAATCCACGTTATTAAATATTCTTTAAAAAATCCACGTTTATTAAAATATTCTTTAAAAAATCCACGTTATTAAATATTCTTTAAAAATCCACGTTTATTGGTTCTTGAAAAAATATTCTTTAAAAAATCCACGTTTATTGGTTCTTGAAAATATTCTTTAAAAAAATCCACGTTTATTAAAATATTCTTTAAAAAATCCACGTTTATTAAAAATTCTTTAAAAAATCCACGTTTATTAAAATATTCTTTAAAAAAAATCCACGTTGTATTGATCCTTGCAAAAATATTCTTTAAAAAATCCGCGTTATTGATCCGTTGAAAAAATATTCTTTAAAAAATCCACGTTTATTGGTTCTTGAAAAAATATTCTTTAAAAAATCCACGTTTATTGGTTCTTGAAAAATATTCTTTAAAAAATCCACGTTTATTGGTTCTTGAAAAAATATTCTTTAAAAAAATCCACGTTTATTGGTTCTTGAAAAAATATTCTTTAAAAAATCCACGTTTATTGGTTCTTGAAAAAATATTCTTTAAAAAAATCCACGTTATTGGTTCTTGAAAAAATATTCTTTAAAAAATCCACGTTTATTGGGTTCTTGAAAAATATTCTTTAAAAAATCCACGTTTATTGGTTCTTGAAAAAATATTCTTTAAAAAATCCACGTTTATTGGTTCTTGAAAAAATATTCTTAAAAAATCCACGTTTATTGGTTCTTGAAAAATATTCTTTAAAAAATCCACGTTTATTGGTTCTTGAAAAATATTCTTTAAAAAATCCACGTTTATTGGTTCTTGAAAAAATATTCTTTAAAAAATCCACGTTTATTGGTTCTTGAAAAAATATTCTTTAAAAAAATCCACGTTTATTGGTTCTTGAAAAAATATTCTTTAAAAAATCCACGTTTATTGGTTCTTGAAAAATATTCTTTAAAAAATCCACGTTTATTGGTTCTTGAAAAAATATTCTTTAAAAAATCCACGTTTATTGGTTCTTGAAAAAATATTCTTTAAAAAAATCCACGTTTATTGGTTCTTGAAAAAATATTCTTTAAAAATCCACGTTTATTGGTTCTTGAAAAAATATTCTTTAAAAAATCCACGTTTATTGGTTCTTGAAAAAATATTCTTTAAAAAATCCACGTTTATTGGTTCTTGAAAAAATATTCTTTAAAAAAATCCACGTTTATTGGTTCTTGAAAAAATATTCTTTAAAAAATCCACGTTTATTGGTTCTTGAAAAAATATTCTTTAAAAAATCCACGTTTATTGGTTCTTGAAAAAATATTCTTTAAAAATCCACGTTTATTGGTTCTTGAAAAAATATTCTTTAAAAAATCCACGTTTATTGGTTCTTGAAAAAATATTCTTTAAAAAATCCACGTTTATTGGTTCTTGAAAAAATATTCTTTAAAAAATCCACGTTTATTGGTTCTTGAAAAAATATTCTTTAAAAAATCCACGTTATGTTCTTGAAAAATATTCTTAAAAATACACGTGGTTCTTGAAAAAATATTCTTTAAAAATCCACGTTTATTGGTTCTTGAAAAAATATTCTTTAAAAAATCCACGTTTATTGGTTCTTGAAAAAATATTCTTTAAAAAATCCACGTTTATTGGTTCTTGAAAAATATTCTTTAAAAAATCCACGTTTATTGGTTCTTGAAAAAATATTCTTTAAAAAATCCACGTTATTGGTTCTTGAAAAAATATTCTTTAAAAAATCCACGTTTATCTTTAAAAATCCACGTTTATTGGTTCTTGAAAAAATATTCTTTAAAAATCCACGTTTATTGGTTCTTGAAAAAATATTCTTTAAAAAATCCACGTTTATTGGTTCTTGAAAAAATATTCTTTAAAAAAATCCACGTTTATTGGTTCTTGAAAAAATATTCTTTAAAAAATCCACGTTTATTGGTTCTTGAAAAAATATTCTTTAAAAAATCCACGTTTATTGGTTCTTGAAAAAATATTCTTTAAAAAATCCACGTTTATTGGTTCTTGAAAAATATTCTTTAAAAATCCACGTTATTGGTTCTTGAAAAAATATTCTTTAAAAAAATCCACGTTTATTGGTTCTTGAAAAAATATTCTTTAAAAAATCCACGTTTATTTGAAGGAAGTTCCTTGAAAAAATATTCTTTAAAAATTCACGTTTATTGGTTCTTGGAAAAAATATTCTTTAAAAAATTCACGTTTATTGGTTCTTGAAAAATATTCTTTAAAAAATTCACGTTTATTGGTTCTTGGAAAAAAATATTCTTAAAAAATCACGTTATTGGTTCTTGGAAAATTTCTTTAAAAATCCACGTTTATTGGTTCTTGAAAAAATATTCTTTAAAAAATTCACGTTTATTGGTTCTGGGAAAAATATTCTTTAAAAAAATCACCGTTTATTTGAAGGAAGGTCCGTGAAAAAATATTCTTTAAAAAATCCACGTTTATTGGTCCTTGAAAAAATATTCTTTAAAAAATCCACGTTTATTGGCCCTTGAAAAATATTCTTTAAAAAATCCACGTTTAGTAGTCGTTGAAAAAATATTCTTTAAAAAATCCACGTTTATTGGTCGTTGAAAAATATTTCTTTAAAAAAATCCACGTTTATTGGTCGTTGAAAAAATATTCTTTAAAAAATCCACGTTATTGGTCGTTGAAAAAATATTCTTTAAAAAATCCACGTTTATTGGTCGTTGAAAAAATATTCTTAAAAAATCCACGTTTATTGGTCCTTGAAAAATATTCTTTAAAAAATCCACGTTTATTGGTCGTTGAAAAAATATTCTTTAAAAAATCCACGTTTATTGTCGTTGAAAAATATTCTTTAAAAAATCCACGTTTATTGGTCGTTGAAAAAATATCTTTAAAAAATCCACGTTTATTGGTCTTGAAAAAATATTCTTTAAAAAAATCCACGTTTATTGGTCGTTGAAAAAATATTCTTTAAAAAATCCAACGTTTATTGGTCGTTGAAAAAATATTCTTAAAAAAATCCACGTTTATTGGTCGTTGAAAAAATATTCTTTAAAAAATCCACGTTTATTGGTCGTTGAAAAATATTCTTTAAAAAATCAACGTTATTGGTCGTTGAAAAAATATTCTTTAAAAAATCCACGTTTATTGGTCGTTGAAAAAATATTCTTTAAAAAATCCACGTTTATTGGTCGTTGAAAAAATATTCTTTAAAAAATCCACGTTTATTGGTCGTTGAAAAAATATTCTTTAAAAATCCACGTTTATTGGTCGTTGAAAAAATATTCTTTAAAAATCCACGTTTATTGGTCGTTGAAAAAATTCTTTAAAAAATCCACGTTATTGGTCGTTGAAAAAATATTCTTTAAAAAATCCACGTTTATTGGTCGTTGAAAAAATATTCTTTAAAAAATCCACGTTTATTGGTCGTTGAAAAAATATTCTTTAAAAATCCACGTTTATTGGTCGTTGAAAAAATATTCTTTAAAAAATCCACGTTTATTGGTCGTTGAAAAAATATTCTTTAAAAAATCCACGTTTATTGGTCGTTGAAAAAATATTCTTTAAAAAATCCACGTTTATTGGTCGTTGAAAAAATATTCTTTAAAAAAATCCACGTTTATTGGTCGTTGAAAAAATATTCTTTAAAAAATCCACGTTTATTGGTCGTTGAAAAAATATTCTTAAAAAATCCACGTTTATTGGTCGTTGAAAAAATATTCTTTAAAAAATCCACGTTTATTGGTCGTTGAAAAAATATTCTTTAAAAAATCCACGTTTATTGGTCGTTGAAAAAATATTCTTTAAAAAATCCACGTTTATTGGTCGTTGAAAAAAATATTCTTTAAAAAATCCACGTTTATTGGTCGTTGAAAAACTATTCTTTAAAAAATCCACGTTTATTGGTCGTTGAAAAAATATTCTTTAAAAATCCACGTTTATTGGGTCGTTGAAAAAATATTCTTTAAAAAATCCACGTTTATTGGTCGTTGAAAAAATATTCTTTAAAAAATCACGTTTATTGGTCGTTGAAAAAAATATTCTTTAAAAAATCCACGTTTATTGGTCGTTGAAAAAATATTCTTTAAAAATCCACGTTTATTGGTCGTTGAAAAAATATTCTTTAAAAAATCCACGTTTATTGGTCGTTGAAAAAATATTAATCCGTTGGTCGTTGAAAAATATTCTTAAATCCACGTTTATTGGTCGTTGAAAAATATTCTTTAAAAAATCCACGTTTATTGGTCGTTGAAAAAATATTCTTTAAAAAATCCACGTTTATTGGTCGTTGAAAAAATATTCTTTAAAAAATCCACGTTTATTGGTCGTTGAAAAAATATTCTTTAAAAAATCCACGTTTATTGGTCGTTGAAAAAAATATTCTTTAAAAATCCACGTTTATTGGTCGTTGAAAAAAATATTCTTTAAAAAATCCACGTTTATTGGTCGTTGAAAAAATATTCTTTAAAAAATCCACGTTTATTGGTCGTTGAAAAAATATTCTTTAAAAAATCCACGTTTATTGGTCGTTGAAAAAATATTCTTTAAAAAATCCACGTTTATTGGTCGTTGAAAAAATATTCTTTAAAAAATCCACGTTTATTGGTCGTTGAAAAAATATTCTTTAAAAAATCCACGTTTATTGGTCGTTGAAAAAATATTCTTTAAAAAATCCACGTTTATTGGTCGTTGAAAAAAATATTCTTTAAAAAATCCACGTTTATTGGTCGTTGAAAAAATATTCTTTAAAAAATCCACGTTTATTGGTCGTTGAAAAAATATTCTTTAAAAAATCCACGTTTATTGGTCGTTGAAAAAATATTCTTTAAAAAATCCACGTTTATTGGTCGTTGAAAAAATATTCTTTAAAAAATCCACGTTTATTGGTCGTTGAAAAAATATTCTTTAAAAAATCCACGTTTATTGGTCGTTGAAAAAATATTCTTTAAAAAATCCACGTTTATTGGTCGTTGAAAAAATATTCTTTAAAAAATCCACGTTTATTGGTCGTTGAAAAAATATTCTTTAAAAAATCCACGTTTATTGGTCGTTGAAAAAATATTCTTTAAAAAATCCACGTTTATTGGTCGTTGAAAAAATATTCTTTAAAAAATCCACGTTTATTGGTCGTTGAAAAAATATTCTTTAAAAAATCCACGTTTATTGGTCGTTGAAAAAATATTCTTTAAAAAATCCACGTTTATTGGTCGTTGAAAAATATTCTTTAAAAAATCCACGTTTATTGGTCGTTGAAAAAATATTCTTTAAAAAATCCACGTTTATTGGTCGTTGAAAAAATATTCTTTAAAAATCCACGTTTATTGGTCGTTGAAAAAATATTCTTTAAAAAAATCCACGTTTATTGGTCGTTGAAAAAATATTCTTTAAAAAATCCACGTTTATTGGTCGTTGAAAAAAATATTCTTTAAAAAATCCACGTTTATTGGTCGTTGAAAAAATATTCTTTAAAAAATCCACGTTTATTGGTCGTTGAAAAAATATTCTTTAAAAAATCCACGTTTATTGGTCGTTGAAAAATATTCTTTAAAAAATCCACGTTTATTGGTCGTTGAAAAAATATTCTTTAAAAAATCCACGTTTATTGGTCGTTGAAAAAATATTCTTTAAAAATCCACGTTTATTGGTCGTTGAAAAAATATTCTTTAAAAAATCCACGTTTATTGGTCGTTGAAAAAATATTCTTTAAAAATCCACGTTTATTGGTCGTTGAAAAAAATATTCTTTAAAAAATCCACGTTTATTGGTCGTTGAAAAAAATATTCTTTAAAAAATCCACGTTTATTGGTCGTTGAAAAAATATTCTTTAAAAAATCCACGTTTATTGGTCGTTGAAAAAATATTCTTAAAAAATCCACGTTTATTGGTCGTTGAAAAAATATTCTTTAAAAAATCCACGTTTATTGGTCGTTGAAAAAATATTCTTTAAAAAATCCACGTTTATTGGTTCTTGAAAAAATATTCTTTAAAAATCCACGTTATTGGTTCTTGAAAAAATATTCTTTAAAAAATCCACGTTTATTGGTTCTTGAAAAAATATTCTTTAAAAAATCCACGTTTATTGGTTCTTGAAAAAATATTCTTTAAAAAATCCACGTTATTGGTTCTTGAAAAATATTCTTTAAAAAATCCACGTTTATTGGTTCTTGAAAAAATATTCTTTAAAAAATCCACGTTTATTGGTTCTTGAAAAAATATTCTTTAAAAAATCCACGTTTATTGGTTCTTGAAAAAATATTCTTTAAAAAATCCACGTTTATTGGTTCTTGAAAAAATATTCTTTAAAAAATCCACGTTTATTGGTTCTTGTAAAAATATTCTTTAAAAAATCCACGTTTATTGGTTCTTGAAAAAATATTCTTTAAAAAATCCACGTTTATTGGTTCTTGAAAAAATATTCTTTAAAAAATCCACGTTTATTGGTTCTTGAAAAAATATTCTTTAAAAAATCCACGTTTATTGGTTCTTGAAAAAATATTCTTTAAAAAATCCACGTTTATTGGTTCTTGAAAAAATATTCTTTAAAAAATCCACGTTTATTGGTTCTTGAAAAAATATTCTTTAAAAAATCCACGTTTATTGGTTCTTGAAAAAATATTCTTTAAAAAATCCACGTTTATTGGTTCTTGAAAAAATATTCTTTAAAAAATCCACGTTTATTGGTTCTTGAAAAAATATTCTTTAAAAAATCCACGTTTATTGGTTCTTGAAAAAATATTCTTTAAAAAATCCACGTTTATTGGTTCTTGAAAAAATATTCTTTAAAAAATCCACGTTTATTGGTTCTTGAAAAAATATTCTTTAAAAAATCCACGTTTATTTGAAGGAAGGTCCTTGAAAAAATATTCTTTAAAAAATTCACGTTTATTGGTTCTTGGAAAAATATTCTTTAAAAAATTCACGTTTATTGGTTCTTGGAAAAATATTCTTTAAAAAATTCACGTTTATTGGTTCTTGGAAAAATATTCTTTAAAAAATCCACGTTTATTGGTTCTTGAAAAAATATTCTTTAAAAAATTCACGTTTATTGGTTCTTGGAAAAATATTCTTTAAAAAAATCACCGTTTATTTGAAGGAAGGTCCTTGAAAAAATATTCTTTAAAAAATCCATGTTTATTGGTTCTTGAAAAAATATTCTTTAAAGAATCCACGTTTATTGGTTCTTGAAAAATTATTCTTTAAAAAATCTACGTTTATTGATCCTTGAAAAAATATTCTATAAAAAAATCACCGTTTATTTGTCCGAAGGTCCTTGAAAAAATATTCATTGAAAAATCCACGTTTTTTTGTCTGAAGGTCCATGAAAAAATATTTGAATATATATCAGCTCGACAGAGGGCGTAAATATAGAGCAAATGCCAGTCAAAATCAAAAATTAAAAGGTTATATTTTTGGAGGACAGTATGACATTATTATGGTCGGCACCGCACCACTTTAACCCACTTACCCACATAATCCTCAGGAGAAAGGATAAATTCAAAATTAACACCAACGACGTTGGACCCTGTAATATCCAGTCTATGTGAGATTCGCTCATCCAGGGACATTCAACATCCAACTGGAAAAAAAGGAAAAGAATATATTTTTTTTTAAATACAGAACACACATTACTTCCACATTCATATATTTCCCATATAAATATACAGGGTGAGATGAAAAAACTGTAACCAACATCAGACTGCTGTCATTTCTAAGCCACTCGTCCGAAAGCTGTTAAGATTATTCCAGTGACAGCTCATTATATTGTTTACAAGCGTACAAAAGCATTTTGGTGAGAGTTTTCCAGAAAAAAAATTATTACAAATTATTACAGAAAGAAAATAGACTCAAAAGAGCTAAATAGTTGCTTCGCTTGGCCGAAAGTGGCGAACCGCTGAATTTGGTTTTCTCCGATGAGAAAACATTCGTTGTCCAGCAGTTTGTAAGTAAGGAAAATAATCGTGTTTACTTGCCAAAGAGTTCAGCTGAAAATGTGCACCTTCGGTTGGCCACCTGAACTCAAGCGCCGGTCATGGGGCCATAACGCCATAACAGCCGATGGTCGTTCTCCGCCTATGGTTGCTCTCCTCCATAGCAGCCGATAGTCGCCCTCGACCGTGGCATCAGAATAAATACCGAATATTATCCCGAAAATATTCTGGAGGGTGTATTAAAGCCTTGGGCACGCAAACATTTTGGCCGCAGGCCTTGGACATTCCAACAGGACTCAGAACAATCGCTATTAAAGAATGGTTACAAAATGAGGTTCCTCGATTCATTTCCAACGCACAATGGTCACCAAAATCTCCGGATACCAATCCTTTGGACTATTGTGTCCGGAGTATTTTGGAAAGCAAGGTTGGCACTAAAAATACCAAAGTATCGATCATCTCAAGCAAGCCCTTTGCCGGCAATGGGCCGAAAGATCGCAGAACAACATTCGGGCAGCGTGTGACGGCTTCATTGGCGGTTTGAAGGCTATAATTCGTGCCAAAGGAAACCAATTCGAACAAATCTAATCTTATTCTAAAATTTGATGCTATTTCCGACATTTTTTGCTTTCATTTAATTAAGTTTTAAAAAAATGTAAAAATCATGGCGTTTGATTTTGTTGCAGTTTGTTATCTCACCCTGTAATTTTCTTCTCCTATAGTTTAGATTCTCTTCTATTTTATATATTTTTCCAAACCATTTGAATTTAATTCTCAAAATTCTTAAAAAAGTTTTCGTAATTTTCCAATTATTCTTTAAAAGTTCACAAATTAAAATCTAACAATTTCCCCGAGATATTTGAAAAGAGTTTAAGAGTTCCTGCTGTTCACCAGCTGGAAACGGTATTTGTTATTTATGATTGCATATTTAAGTGGACGTTGGGGTGGGTCGAAAGACACAACTGCACAAATACACATATGAAAAGCAATTCTTTGCAATTTTTGGATAATATTGAAAATAAGAAGGATTGGTATCTTCCAAATATCAACATCAAAATGAGTTCGACATATAAAAAGAACAGAGTATTTCGTCTTGGAAATAATTGAAAATTTGTTTCTTTAAAAGTATCCACCTTTCTCCATCCATGTCAATTTGCTGTCCTTACCATTACACCCCAATTCATCCAATCGTATATAAATAACACACATGAATGTACATATATTTCGACATTCTGCCATGGCTGTTTGCATTTAACACTCATAGCTATTTTGCTCTAACACCAAACTGCCATGGCATGAAGAGAATTGAAGAGTGAACAACAAACAACAATAACAACCCATCAGATTTAAATTTCCACATTCATCCACATTTCCACATCGATTCACCATCGAAATGAATGAAGTTTTAAAAATGCAATAGAGAAAAAAAAAACAAGAAAAAAAGTAGCAAAGTTCGACCGGGTCGAACTGTTAATAGCCTCCAACATACCACATGTAGTACCACCTAGACCACGTTTATTTGTCCGAAGGTCCTTGAAAAACATTTTTTTTTTTAAAATCCAAGTTTATTTGTCTTAAGGTCATTGAAAACTATTCTTTAAGAAATCAACGTTTATTTGCCGGAAAGTCCTTTAAAACTATTCTTTAAGAAATCTAAGTTTATTTATCGGAAGTCCTTAAAAAATTTTCTTAAAAAATCCAAGTTTATTTGTTTGAAGGTCCTTAAAAAAATCCATGTTTATTTGTCCGAAGGTCCTTAAAAAAATATTCCTTAAAAAATCCATGTTTGTTTGGTCCTTAAAAAAATATTCTTAGAATAATCCACGCTTGTGTTGTTCTTGAAAAATATTCTTAAAAAAATCCACGTTTGTTTGGTCCTTGAAAAAATATTCTTAAAATAATCCACATTTGTTTGGTCCTTGGAAAAATATTCTTCAAAAAGACCACATTTGTTTGGACTTTGAAAAAATATTTTTTAAAAATCCTCGTTTGTTTGGTCTTTGAAAAAATATTCTTAAAAAAATCCACATTTGTTTGGTCCTTCGAAAAATATTCTTAAAAAATCCACGTTTGTTTGGTCCTTGAAAAATTATTCTTTAAAAATCCGCGTTTGTTTGGTCCTTGAAAAAATATTCTTAAAAAAATCCACGTTTGTTTGGTTCTTTATGTGGTTTATGTGGTCAAGGCTTTACTACACCCTCCAGAATATTTTCGCGACAAAATTCGGCATTAATTCTGATGCCACGGTCCATTAATGCAAGCGGAGAGCGACCATCGGCTGTTATGGAGATACACACCATCACCGTGGCCGGCGCTTGAGTTCTGGTGGCCAACCGATGGTGCACATCTTTAGTTTGTCTGCAAACTGTTGGACAACGAATGTTTTCTCATCGGAAATCCTAAATTCGGCAGTTCACCCCTTTCGGCCAAGCGAAGCAACCAACTCCTTAGCACTTTTGAGTCTATTTTCTTTCTCTTGCGGTGAAAGTTCTTGCATTTTTTGGAATTGCAATGGCTTTATCCCGAGCTCATTTTTCAATATTAACCGAATGGAATATTGCGATATGTCCAGCTCACGAGCCATTTTTCAGTCACGGCGACGCGGGTTTCGATCAAGTCACTTCCTTACTTTTCGAACCATTTCTGATGATGTTGTTGTTTTCTTCCCTCCACTTCCTTGACGTCGGGCTTCGCTACCAGTATCGTGCCACGAGACACAAAAGATTTATTCACATTTAAATGCTGGAGTGCTCTAACGATAGCCACTTGTGGTTCTCCAGCCAAATATAAAGAAATCACACTATCACGCTTGAATTTCATCACGAATAACTTTTTTCCTGGAAAATTCTCACCAAAATGCTTCTGTACGCTTGTAAACAATATAATGAGCTGACACTGGAATAATTTTAACAGCTGTCGGACAAGTGCCTTGGAATTGACAGCAGTCTGAAGTTGGTTACAGTTTTTTCATCTCACCCTGAATTAAAAAATCCAAGTTTGGTCTTCGACATAATAAAATGCAAGTTCAATACTGTCTGATAAAATATTTGAAAATAAAAACAAGGTTCGTTTTTAATCCTTCTAAAATACTTTTAAAAATATCCCCATTTATAGGTCAATTTGGGGGATTTATTTATGTTTCGAGATGTTACAGATAGAATGACCAACTTAATATACCCCCCATACGGTGGAGGGTGTGAGTTCGAGTAAAAAAAAAATGCAACGAAACGAAACGGTTTTGGAATATTGCCTGTATTTTATCCGCAAGGGGGATAACGACATTGATTTCACACAGGCACATAGGATGTGCATGGATGTAAACAAGTGTGTGTGCTGATGTGTGTGAGTGCTATGTTTACTTCAATGTGCAAAAAAGCTAGACATGTAATGGATTACAAAACCTCTAAACAATTTCCATTTCTCTGGGACAGTGAAAGATTTGTAAATAATTCAAAATTATTTTTTTTAAATATTCACTATTTTTAGGGAGTCCTTGAAGTTTTCTATTTTTTTTAAGTCATTCCGTTGTCGATTTAAAAATATTTTCGTAAACCTGTATGGAATATTTCCTTCACCTTATATGAGATATATGATAATTTTTGGAATATGTTGAAATGTACGTGAGGTACCGAAGTATTCCATTTTCACAAATTATTTGATTCCCATTAAAAATATTGGGATGTGGAAAATTTAAAGAAAATTAAACATTTGTTTAAAATTTTATGAACATTTTATGCAAGGGAGGGAGAGAGAGAGTGGGCGGATAGATTTCATATTCGCATAACATATTTAGCTGCAAGATTTAAATATACCAACATTGAAAAAAATTGCAGAATACGTTAATAATAAGTTATTACAGATATCAATATTGAAAATTGACCGATATCTATCATCTTTACAACAGATCTTGAGTAGCGCAAAAATATTGGGATGTGTGAAATTTGAGAAGAACCGGATGCTTACTTCGAATTTTTTGGGCGTTTGGTTACTAAACCTTTTGAGACTTTCTGGCAGAAGTACCCAATGGAATTGGCCAATATATCCCAACTTCACAGCAAATCTTGTGTTAGTTGAAAAAATTTAAATGTTTGATGTTTTAAAAGAATCGAATGCTCAATATGCGTTTTATAATGGATTTGCTTATTCAACCTTTTGAGACTTTGTGTGGACGAAGGGGTTGAACGAAATATCCGTTCTTCATACCAGATCTTGCCATGGCAGAAATAATTGATCTCTTATTTTATATTTCATTAGAGCTTCAAATTTTTGTTTTTTTTTTTCAATTATACAAAATTTTGACCCTTTATGGGAGAGGTACTTTATGTAGTGGGCCGATATCACACATTTTCCCACCTAACATAGCACTGACTGAAAATATTGCGATTTGCAAAGATTGCACAAAATTGGATGATCCTTTTTTGTTCAAGAAGCTAAATTATTTCCTGTGAAAATTTAGATCTTTTGCCGTGGAGGCCTCAGAAGGAGTGGACCGATATTGCCCATCTTCCAGCTCAATATAAGTTTGATAATACTATAACGATATTATGTTTGGATCAAATCGGATACTTCTCTTCCCTTATCGTGCTCACCAGCCAGACGGGCGGACGGACCCCTCAATTTGGTCCAAAGAGACCTAGGTCCTAAATTC